TTATTAATTATCTTTTAATTAATCACTTAATTAAATTACTAAAATCCATAAGGATGTATTTTAAACTTTTCAAAATACTAAGGTTTTAATCTTTTAAATTTTCGAAATTAAAAGCAATTTTAATTAAATTTAAAAGAATTTTGATTTAATAAGTATCTGTTAATTAAAACTTTTAATCAATTTATTAAATCATCTAACGATTATCCAGTTAAATTAATTTAACTTAATCCATATCCCTTAGATCTCAAAAATATGGGAGGGATCTTACAAAATCTTCCAATTATCTTAATAAACAAGAACAATATACTTACCAAAAATAAAATAAATCCCACCAAATCTCTAACTTCCATAATATGGCAAATCTTGGAGAGGAAGACAAAGATTTCAATCCTTGCCTTATATTCGAAAATCCTTAGGGTTAGGAAACCCTAGATTTTGAGATTTAGGAGGCCAAAGGAAAATGATTAAAACGCTTAGGCAAATTTTAGAAATTAGGGTTAAGAAACCCTAAATTGCGAAATCCCGATTTCCAATGGGTTTAATTTCCATAAACCCTAATTTTCAAGTTCAACCAATTGCATCATATTCAATAGAAAACAATCCTACGCTTAGATACCACTGATGAGATTTGATCATAACAAGCAATCATATATGTGCATGCAACCCTAATTTGCTTTGGATCTATGTTTTCTCTAATTGAACATACAAGTATTAAACATCAAAAGATAAACCCTAAAAAGCATATACTATTTTCGAAATTCATGAAATAAGATAGTGGACATACCTTTAAGATTGTTATTGTAAACAATCTTGAATTCCACCTTGAAAACCTTTGGTAGCAAGCGCCACAAGTGTCACGCCTCTAATGATTCACAAACAAACCCTAGAAACCAAGGAAAACTATAGAAAGAGAGGGAAGAAGCCAAAATTTCATCCAAGGCACTTAGAAAGAAGTTATAGATGAAATTCTACCCTAAGGAGGGTTTATATAGGTGGTAGGAAGGTATTGGATAAGGCATGTATCTCCAAGATAACCCTAATCCCTTAACTTCCTCCCTAAGGCATTCAAGACACCCTTAGAGCCCAAGGAAACCCTAGAGACACTCTAGATTTCGTTCCCTCCTCTTTAGGTCGTTGATATTGCCCTATTTTGTCATGTATTTTTAGGTATTTATCATAATATTTAGAGCGTAATTAATATACATTTAAAGATAAAAGATATTTAAAATGTTTTGAATTGTATAAATATAAAAAAATTTGTGGAAGAAATTGGAACTGATCCGGAGCTAATAAGAACGTAAAATGACAAAGAAGCGGAAACTACCCAAAATTTCTTCGTGCTCCTTTAAAAAATGTGTTTGTATACAACGTAGATACCTACTTCATGATGCTAAGCCTTATCCATCGTGTGGCTATGTTGCCGAGTCTATAAATATGCGATTTTTGTGACATCCCCATTTTTCTTGGCCAGAAAAGACTGTTTTATTTATGCTTATTTAAAATCCAAGTGAACTTTATAAATGCGGATTTTGTCCCATAAAAAATATTTTCGAAGAAAATGTTTTTCGTTGACTATTAAAACTTGGAATGTTATAACCGATACAAAAAATAATCATAAACATAATCATTATAGGCCATACATTAACTTATTGTACTAATGTCCTAAACTCCTCGACTCTCTTGGTGAGTTATACCTTCGTACCGCGCATGTTGTCCGTGCGCGTAGCTGCGCACGGAAAATCTTATTTTCTTCGGATATTCATATCTTCTTCATACGAGATCCGTTTTCAAATCATTTTACATCTATGCGTAGCTATCGAAGAGATCTACAACTTTTGTTTAGTTCCCGTCGACTAATTCTCACTTTATTTTTAAATCTATATTTTATCAGACTTAGATTGTTAAAGTCAATTAAAAATTCATAAACCTATCGTCCGACGTATGTTTTCAATTGTCTTTATATTAACAGACTTCTATTAACGAGATATTCAATTCTTGTTTAGATTGTTTTTCCTAACAATCGACCGATTTGAATTTCGGTTTTTGCGACGTATAATTCTACGCTGAAACTTCGAAAAATCCGAACTTCCTCTCACAAAGTCAGATTTGAACGTTCTATATATGCACGCTCTTAGTTTTACAATTACTACAAATTTCGTTTAGATCACTTTATCAAAATTTTACTTTTTACGATACACAAAGTCATGCCGGTTTGATCGCAAAACTTCGAAGAAGCATAACTATTTCATACGAAGTCGGATTTCAGCGTTCTTTATATGTACAGAATCTTTGTAACATATACTATACTTTGTTTAAGATTATTTATCGTAAATAATCTTTTATCAAGAATTTATTTTTAACACTTATTATATTTTGATTGAATAGTCTGAATTTGCGAGTGTTACAATTTTAAAACTCTAATTTGGTGTGTAACCCTTGGAACTTCTCCCATGAGGTTAGAAGGTATTCCAAATATCTAAAAACCCTTTTGGGCCGATTTCGAAGGTAGAGATACAATTTGGAGTGAAGATTTGAAGAATCCAATCGATAAGCATTAGAATGACGAATCGGTTTGCTTAATGGTCATGTTTTGTAAATTGTTTCTTATTTTGTTTTTTTCTTTCAATTATGGGGTAAAACCCTAATGTTGTCACTTGATTAGATGTAACCTAACCATTTTGTGTGATTCAATTGTTTGAATATTTGGTTTTATTTAATTTATTATTTTTTATAACTAACCTTAAAATATTCAAAATAATCGCTATTCTAGTTTTATTAGGATTAAAAAAGTTACATTACCATAAACTTGTTATGGTTACTATAATTCAATAGACTGATTTCTCATTAATTACATACCATATTTAGATTTATGTTTATGTATTTGAGTCTATCTCTACTTTCCTTTTAAACAATTTATTGTATGTATGAAAACACTTTTGGGAGATGATGATAATCAACGAAAACCATAAGTTTTTATTTATCACGCCTCTTTGATCTTTCCCTCCTTCTTCACCCTTCCCTGTCAGTACTCATCATTGGTTCTGTTCTTGCTTGCCTTACAATCATGTTTGACTTGTATTCGGTCATGGATTTCTCAAAAAACATACAGGAAATCCCCGATTACATGTTCTATCCTACACTTACCATCATCATCACCTCATTAACTGTCTTTTATACCGCAGTCTTTCTACAGTTTTGCAAAGTGTGTAGTGGAATGAACAAGGCAGTGGTTTTCTCATTGTGGGTTGTTGCTAATGCCACATGGGTTCTCTTCTCTTTTGCTGTGATTTGTCCTAGTTTCATAACTCGAGGGATGCATCGCTTGTTGATCACTGAAGGATATCTTGCATTAATGTAAATCGACAGTAGCAAGAAGTTTTGTTTTTATCAATATAACTTTTGTTTTCATTGTTATTTTCTTGTTTTAGTTGTTAGCCGGTTAATCTATTTATGATTTTTAGTTGAAGGTTGTTTGGAAGTTGTTCGATTTCAATGACAAATTATAATATTTAACCTAACAATTTATATTTCTTATAGCATTTGTCTGTGTGATTTTTGTTTTTTTCTTTTTCAATTATTATATGCAACCTCACCGTTTATATGATTTTTCATATTTTATGTTAGAAAAAAAGTTAACGAATATCAATTACTAACTTGGATATTTCAAGGATTGTGTGTGAAAATGCTTTACAAAATCTGTCAACCCTATTGCATGGATAATCATGAAACCAGATTTGCGATAATTCATAAATACATAATTATTTTCAGTTATTTGGGGGAAAACTGTGTCTGATGAGGGGATATTAGTGGGACCCTTGTATCCCAAGTAACCCCTAGATCACTTAGGTTATCTAATGTACTTTTATTTTCTCATGCGTGTGAAATAGTTGCGTACTATTTATGTGTGTGTCTGGCAGCAACTGTGCGTGAAATAGCAATGTACTTTAATTATTTAATTTCTATGTATTTCAGCATTGAAAGTAAAATGCTGAAAAGATAGCAATATAGGTGGGTTAAGTTTTAAAAAAGCATTGAACTCTTTACTGTATTTTCTGTGTCTATTTCAACTTTGCGTCACAGATAGTTTTTCCTGTTAAGCAACAAATTTATAAATTTCTTTAAGTTTTTCAATTGAAATAATATTTTTAAAATAGCATTCAACTCTTTCCTGGTTACAGGTAGTTTTGGAAGATTTTTATAGAACTTTGAAATAACATGCAAGTCCTATTATCTTTCTGCAACCCTCCTTCCATCCCTTCTTCAATCCATCAAAACAATCATACAACTTACTAAAAGATGTTTATTCCATCTGTCATTATAGTAACTTCAAGTTTCTTAGTGAAACCTTGATTTGATCTTATTTCTTCTTCATATGACCAAAGCTTTGAATAGTGTTCAACAAGAGTTCCTTGTATTAGTTGTAATGCATATTTTTTGGCTCTCCTGCATTGACTTAGACCCACATAAATTCCAAACTTCTTCATTACTTGTAGCCTTAATTTTATCTGTGTATTATTTCTTTTGTACAATGATTCCCCAACAAAGCATAAGTAACTTATAGTTCCTAGCACAATTGTGATCACCCTTCAAAGACTTGATCTGGAAGGTTTCTTCATCACTCATCCATGTTGCCCACAACCTGAATGTGCATTCACCCCTGCAACACTAACCAACAACCTTTTTCTATCATTTTTTTCAAACCAAAGTTGACACCCATTGGCAACAGCATAGGCAATACACAATTTATTCAAAGTATGAGCTTTTGGTTTTTCCAATGTGTTAGCCTCATTGAAAATGGAGTGTACTCGAGTATTGGGTTCAGATTCAACCTCAATCTCATAAGAATCATCATTGTTGTTGTTATCACCTTCATCCCCTTCAATACATAATTGATTCAAAGACTCATCATCTTTTCTTCTGTCCATAGTCATTGTTTCCTTATTAAACTCCTAATGTCTTCTTCATTTCCACCTTCACCACCAACCATACATGAATCAAGGTAATCTTCTTCTTGGTTACTGAAAACATGTTTGTGTATGAAGAAAGTGTTCTTCCCGCATCATATCATATAATGACATATTTGAAAGGTAAATCAAAACGTTAGATGGTCTAATGAGCAAAAAAAAAAAAATACATAATTGGCCAATCCAAGACGAGAAGAAAACATGAATGTGCTACAGCATCAATTTTCCTTTTGATTATTGATAAGTTGCTTACATATCATAAATTTAATCATTAAAAAAAAACATTGACTAGGCATTTTACATATAACAGTTTATATACATTTAAAAAGCTAACAAACTGTCCTGATATATACATGTAAAAATAGCTATCAACCTGTCTTGACTCATTACCCAGCCCGTCCAACTCAGTCATGTTGAATATATAGAAAACAGTGAGGACTGGAGTGGAAATAAGAAAGTACCTACGGATGTTCATATATCACAGTTCACAGCTACCTAATTAATTTCATTGACTTGTAGTTGTTGTATGGTTTGAAAAATAAGGATGCCTCAAAGCCTCGTCCACAGTTAATCGATCCTCCTGTAGTTCAATTTCCATTAGTGACCATATCACGTTCAGCATTTAAAAAAAAAAAAAAAAAAAAAAAAAAAAAGAACAAGTTACACAGCATTCACTAATCTCAAAGTGCATATGTTATCGTAAGAACTTACGGGATCCCAAACTAATAATTGGCGCACTAATCTCAAAGCCCAAACATCACTAAACCTGCTTAAAAAAACATAATTAGTGTAAGAAGCCAAGCCATATAATAAAGTTGAAGAAGATGATAATTAAACATAATTAAAACCAACCCTATTCCAAGAGGATCTCTACTCTTTATCTGACTCGAAAAGAATTCCTCCGAGCATTTCCATGAAGCTGGTGACCCTGTCCTCTACATCCAAATTATAAAACTTCATTACTACTAAACCCTTCTCTTTTTTTTTTTATTAAAAAAAACATGAAAGATGAGAACTAACCTTCCCTTTTGAGGAACTCCCCGGGAGCAAAATGCATAATTCCATGAATGACCTAAGTCTGCCACCACACCAGAGAAGAGAAGAGAATCAAATAATTTAGGGTTTCAATTATGCATGGTATTGGAATCAAAAGAAAATAAATGTAGAAACCATAATTGTGGATGCCCTAATTAGAGTTGAAAATTAATTGATTAATGTTTCCGGACTTACTTATAAGCCAGCTCCTTTAATCCTTCATTCCAACCTTCAAGGTGTTGATTTAAAAGGGCATGAGTTCTCGCATTTATCTGGAACACATTTGGTGATCCTATAATCAACTCTAACATCACAACCCCAACACTCCACATATCATACCTATCAAATCAAAATACAACATATACTTACTTTACTTCATACGAATTACCAAGGAAAAGGGATGATTAATTCATTCATTCATTATGATTTATGACAGACATACTTTGTATTCATGCTTGCTGGCCCTTGAGACCAAGTAGCATTCAGAAAAGCTTCTGGAGGCATATACTCATAAGTTTGTTCATTCCTGACATAAATACAACAAGAAACTAGCATAAATTCATAGCATTAAGCTATTTACTGCAAACAAAAGGATAAAACAAATAAAAAAAGAAACACCTTGAAGGTCCAGCAGACCCATATAAATGCTTTATAGTAAATTCATCTATTGCACTCCCAAAGTCAATAATGCGCCTTAAAAAAAAAAAAAAACAAAGCAAACACATCTTCATGAGATTATAAATGACAAGATTTGTAAATTACTCTGAACATACATTTTAGTGGTATAGTTCGCATTTCCACTTGGGCTTCCTTTCAGGCATCTTCCAGTATCCCGATCTTCAAAGCAAATAACCATGTTCTCTTCCAAAAAAAAAATTGAAAATTAAAAATCATGCCTATTTAGAAAAACACTAGAAAAAGAAGGTAGTATTCTCACCAGGTTTAATATCTCTGTGGGTGATGTTCCGATCATGACAAGACTTGAGTGCCATTAACTATGATAAAACAGAAAAAAGAAAAGTAACATGTTAGATTATTGATAATAACAGAAAAATAAATTTAACAAGTAGCAAACAAAACACACCAACTGCCATATAAGATTGCGCATTTCATCTTGGCCTGCTTTTGTAGTCTTCAACCAGTGCCACCAGTTTGAGGGATGCAGTATCCGTATATGCTTAATATGATCATCATTCACATTTGTTGTTGTGTCATCACTACTTCCCACATCTTCTGCTGTGTACAAAAGTTTTGATAATGATACGCCTTCATGACGGAATACAAGCCATATCTCATTTGACCTCGACTCAAATGACTCGATATATCTTGCAATATGCTTCACTCCTTCTTCATAAACCTGTCTTTTCCTTGTTGAGGAAATATGTTCTGGTGGCTGATGATGATGATCCTCTGAATCATTCCTTCTTATAAAACTATACATATACGGATATGATTCTTTTGAAGGAGACGCCGAGGCATTTAGAAAAACTTCACCAAAATACTTCTCCCGTAAACCGCTTAGGTATACTGCGTTCCCCTTTTCTACCTGTTTTCAGTTTGTAGCGTTTCATTATTTGTGCAAACATAAAAAAAATTTTAAAAATTGATTTACCATTATACGCTTCAAAATGAACATGTCAGCATCGAGAGGTACAGAAGTAAAGTTCGTTTGGGTTGTGCTTCCATTTTCGGAGCCAAGATGAGTGGTGTAAAATTGGGATGTTTTGTTTGAATCATTTCTTTGTTGGAGATAATTCCAGTGAAAAGCAACCCAGACTTCTCCATATGATCCTCGGTCAAATCTTTTCTTCAGTATATACCTATAATTATAAAAAATGAAAATATTAACCACAAGATAACCAAATAAGAATAAAACAGTACCTGGTGTTAGGAGAGGTGGGTTCGTATGATTCTTGATTTGGTTCAATGGTATGTGAAGGGAGTGATTCTAGAAACCCTAGAAAACTTGCAAGGCCTTCAGGATTAATGCATTGATCTCTATCCCCACCATTAGGCCTCCCATAGTGCAAACACATCATCTGATCACGGTATAAATTCAAAGGTCTCCCTGCATTTACATAAACAAATTACAAATCAACTATTAAATGAAGTGGAAGAAAGAAAGAAAGAAAGAAAGAAAAAAGTGGAACTCTACTAACCATAACTATGGTCAGGTAAGTCAGGTAAGGCTGGTGAGCCATATATAGAGTCATCATCATCTTTTGCAATCCAGAATGTGTAGTCATCTTTTTCATTGAGGCTCTCGGATAGATAGAAACATCTGTAAGTGTTGTGTTTTCCTTCAACCTATAAAAACCAATATCATTCACAGTTTCCAACAACCTATACTATATCAACATATGCTGATCAACATCATTCACAAGAATATAGCCATTATAAGGGGGATGGTATCATGGTAAATAACAGAGAATAGAAAGGGTAATGGACCTGCTAAATATCAAATCTATCATGTCATCTTTTGCAGAAAAAGGAATCAAAACCAAATAATATAGAGATTGACCTCACCAATAACCTTCCAAACTTGTCAATAACTGAATCAGCATTCTCCAAATCTACAAGTTCAAATATGTTTCCATAAGTGAACAACAGTAATGAAGTAAAACAAGGCAATATAAGCAATTATACTTATATACTCATTCATGGTTAACACTTCCAAGTTCCAATTTATATGGACCACCATCTGAAGTCCAAGATTCTTGTCATGGATTAATCGCACACAAACAATTTTCACTTTCATAATAGAAGGAAGAAGAAAATAAAATTGAATTTCCAAATTGAGATATGAACCTATTAGAAGATTCACATTTTTATATCTAATATGCTTTTAGTGGTGGAGCAACAAGAATATACATTTTCACATCTCTGAGTATACTGAAATAAACAGAAATCGTTTTAACTTTAACCCATTCCAAATGTTTGCTCCACCTCTATACCAATAACTTACCAGATTGGTCATCAATGTAATTCTGCAATCTGACATCACTGGATCGTTCACTAGGCAGAGCTTCTACTCCAAATGGAACTACAACAGCTGCTACATTATCCATACTGCCTCTTTCAAGAGCAGTATCAACAATGCAATCAGCTAACGAGTATGAACATGAGGAACTGCTGATTAATTCCAGGGGAGCATCAGTATGTAGTTGCCAGAACAGATCACAGACATCCTGTGAGCTCAGCTTTTCAAGAACACCATCAGATGCAGCTACTAAATAACTATCATTGGGTGTCAGAGGTTGCCAATCTGTCACCTCTGGAACAGATATAACACCAAACCTGATAAAAACACAACATTATTCAAATAAGCAATCAGTAGTAGCCTTTTCTGATTTCAATAAAATGCAAAGCTCACTTTTTATAGGACACATCACCAATAGCACGTGAAACTGCAAGTTGACCATTGACCCTGGATACACCTGCCCACTCCAAGACATGACCTCCAGCAGATTCTACCCTGGACCTTTCATCTGCTCTGTCTGGATGGTGATCATTGGTCAACTCTTTGACAGAAAAATGGGTCAAACCATCAGATGCTGCCAATTTAAAGTTTCCATAGTCTTTCATGCGTACAGAGGTACCATCACGCTTTCTCTTCCTATACAATCTCACTAAAGTAGCTGCCATTTACAAAATTCATCAATTATCAAATTTTCCTGATTTCATCATCAGAACTGCATAATCAAATAAGCATGTAACATTTCGAAGACCAAATGTGTACACAATCAACACCTTTTCTAACCTTTAGCTTCAGGAGGAGGCTGGAACATCTCAGAGCATAGGAAAGCCTTTGAGTCTCCAACATTGGCAGCAAGAATTTGATGATCTGCTATTAATATAACTGCTGCAGTGGAGCCAGAGTTGAAGCTGTATCTAGAAGCCTCCTATAGAAAAAGCAATAAACAAACCATAAATTTGTCACTACCAATATGAACTCCAGAATTTAGTACAGAGACACAAATACAAAATCACTATGATTACCACTCACCTTGCTGAATGCTGCATCAATATCATCAATTGCCCTCAGCAATGCTTCCTTCAGAATTTCCAAGTGGAATGCTCCATTGAAGATGGTTGATGAAGTAAACTTAATCCTGTGACAAATATGTCAAAAGATTCTTGTTAGGAAGTTGATGTTGGAATTGCTCGTTGTGAAGCACATTAGGGAGGTGACATTATAAACCATGCGAGAGAGCAAGAGGGAGAGAGAATGAGACCTTCCAATATGCAGAACATGTTCACCCAGTTTCTCATCCCAACTAAGCATCCGAGAAGCATGGTCATGTTCTCCCTTATTGGGTAGCATTCCCCTTGATGTCTTGGACAAAAAGGAAAATGCATTATCAAGGAGAAAATAAGTATGCAGTGTGAAATACTCCAATAACAGCTTTGAGGCCATCTCACTTGCTTCTGCACCATTATGTCCATCAAAAACTGCCACAATGCCAACTGAAGTATCTCTAATGCCATTGGGGTCTGCAACAGTATGAGAAATCAACCATTAAAACCCAAGTTTCATGGTTATGAGAAACACGGAACTTAATTATTGCATATCTTTAAAACAGCTATGCCCTTCAAGGGCCAACGAGACTCATACGCCTGCAACTATATACTATCTTATGGTAACTGCTAACTATACCATTGATGTTTTCTCAACCTAATTCCATAATTTAGTTTGTTTTTCCACAATTTCAAAAGAGAAAATGGCAGATGTAACCCTACATAGTAAGCTTGACTGCTTGAGTGCCTTCTACAAGAAGAAAAACAAAATACTCTGCTAAGTACAGGATGTAACATGAAAGATGGGAAGAAGCAATTCAGTGAGAACCTATTTTGCTTGATACCGAGCTGACTTTTGGAATTCTCAACAAAAACCAACAATCCTCTCATAAGATAACTCATTGGCACTTCCCATTCAAAAGTTAACTAATCATTTTACAAGTTTAACACGAACTTTCTTTTCCTATAATCCTATTTGTGCTGATCCTTGTATGATTTAATATATGAATGCATATCAAATTTGAATTAAACAGTAGAAATCAATCAGGACACAGTTGTAAACCGGCAGGAATATCAAGTACACATAAGCATATTCAGCCATTTATCAGACATCGTGTACATATACAAGCAAAACTGCAAAATCAAACTTGATGCGTACAAATCAGACACGTAAATGAAACATACATCTTACCTGGAAAAGGAATCCGGATGTCCAGAGTACAGAAAGTGCGATCTTCCAGAGATTTTCGTCGGCCCTGACGTGTAGCCGATTGACATCTCCCAGCTGTGGATTTCCTCCGACGATCATGTTTTGGCAAACTCCATCGAGGGCATTTTGGCGACCGGAACACTGCTGGCGCACCGCCTTCTTTATACACCGCCAAGCACGTCGAGGATTCGCCGGCGGTACGTGTTATTATACAGATAACAAACCCTAAAACGAACAAACTGAATTTTTTTATGTTCATAGTTTGAAAATGCAAACCACAGTTGATTCTGATAACGATATTGAATTCATGAAGGAACTGTTCCTGTAATCGGAAGTCATCCTTCGGCAGAGCTCGTTTGAATTAACGGTTAAACCGACCAAGGATTAAAGGGGGGTTTTCAGAAGTACTGGGTACATTATTACGATACCGTTTTTTTTTTTTTTTTTTGACAAGTACGACCATTTTGTATTTTTCCACTTACCACCATTAAATATAGACATAATTGTAAAAATAATCTATGTGTTTAGCTTAAAATTGTTATTTTTATTTAGAAAAAAAAAAAAACAAATTGAACTAACACAAATAGTCGAAAATATGAGTTTTATTATGGGTTTGGTTTAAAAAAATGGAAAATTCTTAAAATGACAGATTTTCTCTTTTTATCTTTTTTCCTTTTTTATTATTATTTAACTATTTAATTAAAAAAAAAAAAAAAAATCTCAACCACCTTTCCCTTCCATATCCCACAAACCTAGTATCATTATTATTAAGTTTTAATCTATTATTTATTACGATTAATTATTAATTTAGATTCATCATAAATATTAGTTTGACTATGATTTGCTTCTCATTCTAAAAGCGAATGAAGCCTGCCTCGAAACGAAGGTCAAATGGCGGCTCTTATCCTTTTGGGGCAAACGAACAGTTTGTTGGATGTGACGGTTTAGTTACTTTACGATTTTTCAGGAAAAAATGTTCATTACTTTTTAGATGTGACGACTTTTACGGCAACTGGTCCACTATCTAAGACTCCACGTGGCAAATTTTCATTGGTGGCCGTTTCAAATTCAAAACTCGACATTTAGTATAAAAGGAATTTGGTGAACTAAAATTAAACCTTTACGCAATGTAGTTTAATTTTTCCCAAAATCTTATTTTCTTCTGCTCATTACTTCAAAGCAATTCTTCAAAACCCTAGCAACGGCGGCACAACCTGATCATGTTGATCAAACTCATACAACTGAAGCTGCAACATCACAACCCTTATTGAAGATTCAAAACTCTAATTATCGAGTTCAACCTGATGTCCCGAAGTATCTTGAAGAATTGAAGATGTTGATCATTGCTCTCAATCATTTAGTTCTTTCAGCTGTGATAATTGCTTCTTTCTACGTGCCTATGACTTGGTTATCTTTGGCTAGTTCTACAACGGTGTTTAACAAAACTTCCAAGGTGGTGATGTTCCAATTAACGAACGACAATAAGTACAAACTCATAAAGAAGTAGTTTGCACAAATCTTGAAGCTTCCCTATATTGCTCCGTTTTACGAGGTTACCAATGAACAGGTAGTTCATACATTTAATGAGATGAGTCACCAACCCCTACTCACCGGAATAAGTCATTTTCGCAAGTCTGCTCTACCTTGTATCTGAAATTTTTTGTTTGGAATTTTTCTACGTTGTCTCACATGCCGAAGTGTTGGTCTTGACAAAGCCAAATTGGAGATATATGTCTTGATTGTTGGGTTATATTATGTTCTTAATGTAGATTATGTAACATGGTTGTGGGAAGAGTTTGGCACGGGTATTTCTCATACAAATGTTTCGAATGGTGTATCTTGTGCGCGATATTGGAGCTTAATTCTACAAGATGTGTATGTGAAAGAAGGCATCTTGGTTCCATCTGATGGTCCAAGGGCAGCATTTAATATCTATCAACATCCAAAAACCGTTGAAGATGATCTAGTTGTGTTTCCGATAGTGGCTTGCATCCCTGATGCTATGCTGCGAAAGGTGGATCCGACTCATCTAGTTCTTATTGTTTATGTAATGTCCGCAGATTCTGGCTAGTTAATTTAGAGATAATAAGCGTAAAAAATGAATTTTTGATTGAAGATTATTTAGAATAAATAATCTTAACCAAATTATAGTATATGTCACAATGATTCCGTACATATAAAGAACGCTAAAATCTGACTTATAACGAAGAAGTTATGACTCGTCGAAGTTTTGCTACAAAACCGGCACGACTCCGCGTATCGTAAAAAGTAAATTTTTGAAAAAAGTACATTTTAGCCTTATAAATCTAAATGAAAGTCGTAGTATACGTTAAATTGAGAACGTACATAAAAAAACGTCCAAATTTGACTTCGTTTGAGGAAGTTGTGGTTATTCTAAGATTTAGCATAATAGTACACAGCCCGGAAAATCGAATTTTAGATCGATCGATTTTTAGCCTAGACCACCTAAATGATAATTGAAAATCTCATTAATAGGAGCTCAAAGATATAAAGACGGTCAAAAACGGACCTTGGATGACAAAGTTATGAAAACGGAGTTCATATGCGAAAGTTACTGTAACATCCAAAAACTCATGAAAATTTAAAACTTTTTCAACCATTCAAAAACCATTATTTATTACAAAGTGTTTTCAAAATAGTTTCATATCAGAGTATCCCAAAAATCAAATTTATAAAATGTGAGGAGGTGCATGATCACGCCTTCGTCTTCCCGCGAACATCTGAAGTACCTGAAACAAAATCCAAAACTGTAAGCCCGAAGCTGTAACATCCCAAATTTTCAAATAAATTTTTAATTTTTAATTAACCAATTATTTCCATAAAATGTGTAGTAATATAAATCGTTGTTTTCAAAATCCATAACATTAACATTTTATTACAAACATCAGAGTGTCCCATCCAAACAATTGTCATAAAAAGAGTGCACGTCGCGCCATCACGCCTTGCCCTTTCCCTTGGGCTGAAATGTACCTAAAATAAATCCACAAACTGTAAGCTAATGCTTAGTGAGTTCCCCAGAGCATACCCTACACACAATTCACATAACATATATCACATTAGCTATAAAGCTACATATATCATATAAGCCATGCATACAACGTGCAAGAAAGCCATGGAAACCCTCTAAGGTCTTACACATAATGCCACTGGAACCCCCACGTGGTCTTACTACTTGCCATGGGAACCCCCACATGGTCTTCCTACCATGGGAACCCCCACATGGTCTTTTTGTCATGGGAACCCCCACATGGTCTTCCTACCAAGCATATATCATACAACCAATCATGTAAATACACTAGGATGCCAAGAAAACCCTCCAAGGTCTTATACCAAATGCCACGGGAACCCCTACGTGGTTTTAGCCTATTGTTACGGGAATCCCCCGGGGTCTTCCATACAATGCCATACTAACATAACGCATAGTCAAACGACAATCCACATATCATAATATGGGCGCCCTTGGTGCCTTAGACCCATTGGTATGGTGAGAAGACTCGCCTCTCATGAATGTAGAATTTGACGGGTTTAGATTAGATAATCCCCACGTGCTAATCCAATTCAACCACATATAATCATCATATGAATAACTCGTCGAATCCCGTAGACACCCTCAAAGTCAGCTCTGGTCAACCCCAGTTAACAGTCAAGGTCAACAATCCATGTTAACCTCTACTCGTCGAGTGCATCCAGCAACTTTTCGAGTTCTATAAGTATTTCATCTACTCACCGAGTTACTTAGGTAACTCGCCGAGTCCCCTGAAAACTCATGAACCCTGAACCGAAAATCCATCCAGCCGAAAACCCTACTCGGGCCGAAAACTCATATGGCCGAAAACCCTGTTCTCCACCGAAAACACCCTGGATCCCGAAAACGGGAAAACCCCTCCTGACTGGCCGAGTAAGATAAGGAACTCGATGAGTTCCTTCAGTTCTCTCATGTTTGGTCCTTTTCAGTGGGATCTAAGGTCCCAAACTCCAAATCCAAGCTCTCCTAGTGCAGAAACCACGTAAAGTTGCAAACTTTACAGGCATGCAAGGTGTCCCAAGGCTATATCTTCGAAACTAGGCTCCTTTCAAGGTTTTTGTGCATGGAAAGTGGCTAAATTACACAAAGTGAGCAGCTTTATGCCATCAGGGACCTAAAGGGGTCCAAATCTGGAACCATATCCTAGTGATAGGTCCAGATCCAAGTTTGACTCCATTTTTCCCCAAAAACGGATCCACTGCTTCCCTTTTTTTGTTCCTTCTTCCAACTTCCTTCTCCAACACATCAAGTAAGTTCATGGCCTAAAACAACTTTCTTTGTGTAGTAAAGTGCTAAAAGAGGACACGAGGGGCATATTATGATCCTTATATAGGGTGCAAACCCTCAAATTAGGGTTTTCCTTTACAGCTCCTACTCGCTGATTCGGGTCTTCCGACTCGACGAGTAGGTCCCGATCCCACGTCCATAAATAATTCCTCTACTCGACGAGTTGGACTCCTAACTCGCCGAGTCCACACCCAAAACCCCTAAAAATTAAATGAATCAAATAATACCTGGAACACGTGTTACAAGTCTCCCCCACTTGAATTAGACTTCGTCCTCGAAGTCTGCTGATCCAAACAAATCTGGGTAGTGATCTCACATATCTTCCTCTGGATCCTATGTCCATTCAGAGCCCTTGCGATGATGCCATTTCACCTTCACCAACTTCACTTCCTTGTTCCAAAGAACCTTAGTCTTCCTATCTAAAATGGAAACTGGCCTCTCGATGTAGTTCAGGCTCTCATCCACCTATGTAACGCCCGCAAATCCGGCCTAGTCAAATTAGAGACAATAGGAGTCAAAAACGACTTTTCGACAAAAGATTATTTAGAATAAATAATCTTAACCAAGTTGTAGTATATGTCACGAGGTTTCCGTGCATATAAAGAACGCCGAAATCCGAGTTATAACGAAGAAGTTATGACCCGTTGAAGTTTCGCAACAGAACCGGTACGATACCGGAAAGCGTAAATAGTGAATTTACGATAGAGCGAGATTTAGCCTTAGCGATCTAAATGAAAGTCGTAGAATATGTTAAACTAAGAACATCGATAAAAAGAAAGCCCAAATCTGACTTCGTATGAAGAAGTTATGATTTTTCGAAGTTTCGGACTAGCAGTATACAACCCGAAATTCGGATATTAGATCGAGCGGGTTTTAGCCGACACGACCTGAACGAGAACCGAAGATCTTGTTGAGAGTAGCGTAACGAGAAAAAAATGGGCAAAAACGGATATCGGATGAAGAAGTTATGAGGATTTAACGGATCAATCATGTCCCGGCCCGTTAATAATATAAAATTTAAAATCGAGCCAAAATTAGCCAACGAAGTCTAAATGAAAGTTGTAGAGTACGTTCCCACCTTCGCGTGGATA